TGTAGCTCTTCTCCTATTCTACGTCTTAAATATTTTCGCACATCACTACCGAATAACGATATCTTAGTTTCATCACTCCATATAACTTGTGACCACTGTTCATCTGTTCAATTAATGTGTTCCTTTGCCCACTGTAGTCTTTTCTTTTCGTTGCTGAAAATTAAGATAAGGCTTTTTTCGTGGAATTCTACCTCTCAGTCCGTCTGTTAATCTTCTCCTGATTGTTCTTGAACTGACAGAAACACCAGCATCATTCAGATCACTTCTGATGCCGCTGATGACATTTTTCTATCTTGGAGACATAGTCTTTTTATTCTTCCTGTCATCAATAGATGTGGTGCACCTTTTTCGTTCGGCCTTTTCTTTTCTTTGTTTTTTATTTTTTTTTTGAATTTGTCTCCTGATATCGTAAACAAAACTTTCGGACTCCAGTATTCACTGAACCACCCCCCTGTCTTGCAATTTCAGCATAGGAAAGACCACTTTCTCGTAACACAATAATACTACATCTCTTTCTAGGTGTCAAATCTACTCTTTTATTTGATGTCATTGCTTCTAGACTAAATATTAAAAATTTTTACAAAAATTCCTACTTGTAATTGCAGTGTTACAGAACAAAGCAAAATAATGAATTGTTTCATGTGTAAACATGATGTCAGCTTCTACTGGCAGTTACTAACATTTGATTGGTTCTCAGAACAAGAACAGTGATTGGAAAGCTAGACATTACAAACCACTTCATAGCTGTGTTTTTTATTTATATTAAAGTATATATAACTTTTTTTGTATTGCAAATAATTGAATTTTGTGTTTTGTATTGAATTCAGTAATAAATTCTCTTTAAATAAAATGATATATACAAGTTTGCATTTTGCAAAACGTAACATTTTCTATAAGCATACAAAAGTTCAAAAACATAAAAATTTTCAAAACAGTCCACAATTTTGGCCACCACTGTACATACATACAAAAAAAAAAAAAAAAAAAAAAAAAAAAAAAAAAAAAAAAAACCACTCAAATTTTCTTATAAAAAGTCTACAATAAATGACAAATTTTTAATAAAAAAAGATAAACACAAATCTAAATTGGGGGAGGGGGAAAGAATCAAACAAAGATAAATTACAAAAAAAATTTAAATAGATGAAGTTAAAAACATAAATAATTAAAATAATAAAAATAAGATTTTTGAACAAACAGACAAAAGGAAAAAGAAATAAGCAATCTTCACGAGGCAGTTAAATAATAAAAATCCATGAGAGTAAGTTTCACTATATTTTTACAAGTGAAACCTTTTTTTAAATGCAAGGAAGTACATTGTTTTATCATAAACAAACAAAAGAAAAAAAAGGGGGGGGACTTCACTCTCTTCACCGAACTCTTGGCCTTGAAATCGTACCAATATTCCATGTCAACTGAAGCTGCATTGAGTATTGCAGCAGGAATATCAAAATTCTAGACAAATCAATAAAAATTTCAGAAAGAAAGAGGAGTATAAGCATACTTATTAATTTTATAAATAAAATTCTCAGACAACTAAAACCATGACAATGGAAGTTTTGGTAAAACAGGATAATTTATTAAAGACTTGGTTTTTCCCCGTTGAAAAGAATCTAAAATAGAAAATGCCTACTAGACCTCTTTTTATACTATATAAATGAAGAACGGAAAAGGTGTCAATAATAAACTAATTAACAATTTACCATTTGAAATGCATTTACCTGTGCACTTATTTACAGAAGCTCCTACATAGCTTCTATGAGACAAAATCCTGATTTAATTTATAAAGAATTGGTTCAAGGTTATAAAGAGTAGATAAAACAGCACACAAACATGCTACAAGTTATTTAAAAAATAGATACTAAGGCTAGAAACAAATGTGTGAGTGAAGGTTTAGATGCAATTCCAAATCCTGCGCCCACCAGCGGCCGAGCAGTAAAACCGCTGAACACTGGTAGTTCGCTCCGAGGTTCAAATCCCACGAACGGGCTGGCTGCATGGGCGTTTTCGTGGTTTTCCCCCATGTGTAACGTGTATACGAGACAGTTTCCCTTAGAAAGTCCTCCACGAAGGCATCCCTTCCCTTAGGCAGATAGCCCTAGTGTGCTTTGCCGTATTCTCAATACACCATACACCACCAAATCCTGCACTGCATAAAAGAATAGAAAGAGTGGTCTTTTGACTTACTACACAAGAAAAAAAAAAAAAGACTTTTGAAATGGGATAATGCTGTTTGAAATTCAAAGAAAAAACAAAAACTAAAAATTTATAAGAAATCTTTCTAAAAACGACAAACTATACTGAAAGGAGTTTGTGATGCTTGTTGGTTTACAAAAAGTACTTTGTTTTTAGCTCAAACATATTGCCAAAATAAAAAGTCCTAAAAGATGTATTTTGTAATCCTGAAACAGGTTACTGAAGCGTGAAAGAACTGCAAAGGAAACCAAAATACCTCAAAAAGAAATTGAAACATATTTTACATCAACAAGATGTTTACACAAACATGAAACACTCATTAGAGATATTAGAATATATGTTCCTAGTACTGAAAATCAATGGCAACCAGATTTCCCTTTAATAAGTATAACAGAAGAACAAATTATTTATTAACTGTAACTGACTGCTTTAGTAAATATCCATGGGCTATTCCATAAACAGATAAACAGGAGAAGAGATCATAAATCCGTTTACAAAGATCTTTAAGGAGTGAATTCACACAAGGGTTTAGATCAATAAAGGTAGAGAGTTTATCAATAAAGATACTCATCAACTGTTTAAAGATAACATTCATTGGTTTACTAGAGAAAATCCAGAATTCAAATGGGCTATAATTGAATCATTTAATAAGATTTATTATGCTTATTTAATTATAACAATTCATATCATCAATTTATAAAACTGACACCTGTAGAAGCATATGATAAAGATAATGAAGCTGTAGATCACAAGAATTCACATAAGCACAGAGAAATTCTAGTTAAATATGATAAAAAAGACGAAATATATAAAACTAAAAAACAACAGAGAAAAAGGAAACAAAGTTTTTGTTAAATGGTTAGTACATATATATACAAAAAGTTTAATTTCTGGACTGATGAAAAAAAAACTTTTAAATCCCTCCAAAATTCTGAATTTTCTAAAAAATTTTTTTTTTATATATAAATTTACTTCTTCCTTTATTTTGCATAATATAATTTTAAAATATTATTTTAAGTTTTTAAATAAAAAAATTATATATATTTTTAACCACATACATTATTAAAATTTATCCTTTTAGTAGTTCAAAAAATGCAATTTTTATTATTTAAATTTCCTTTATATAATTTATCGTCAGCATTTTTCCAAATCATTGTTTCATAAAAAAATTCACTTTATGCATGTTCTTATTTTTAAAACACTTTTTCTTAGAAAATTTGATTTTCCCTCAAAGTTTCCTTGTGTAGGAATCTCCAGGAGACCTAAGTCTGAAAATAAAAGGAGACTTGGAAAATAATTAAAACTGTTAATTTAGGCATTTTTAAAAACTCTCTATGTATATTATATGCTTTCTTATCAGAAAAATTACTTTTTTTTTTTGTTTTGTTATTGTGTTACATCATCTTCAAAGTGTCCTCACACGGGCATTTACTAACTATTCATGGATCAATCTGATAGTTAACAAGAGATAAAAAATTGTATTTATTGCTTTTAAATACTTAGTTTATTAACCAATAACAGGCAGAATAAAAGAAAAATTAAGCATTTTACACTTTGTCAAATGGTAACAAAATCAGATGTATTTTAAATTCCTACTAAAGAGTTATATGTTGATTCCTGATAAAGTGTTCATATTTTTTATATCTGCTATATTGTCTCTTTAAAAATTATACATGGAGATAAAAGGATGTTGTCATCAAATGTTATTTGTATTGCCACAGTTTTTTAAAAAAAAAATATTTTTTACTTATTAAACATATAGAAGATACATAATGTTATCATATTAATCCAAATACATATTCATCTTAACTATTTCTTTAAAAATAATACATGGTGAACATTTGAAAAGTGATATGGACAAAAAATGAGATTTCGGACTAGAAGAAATTTAGCAGATTAATGACACAAACATACAATTTTTATCATACGTATATTGTTCAAATGTCATTTATGGTGTTTCAATGTGCTGATCAATTTCAACAGGAAAAAGTGGGTGTTGCCATTTGAAGATTTCATAATTTGTTTACTATAACCGTAACCAGAGAGATGTATTGTTTTAAATCATCACACTCTTGAGAACATGCATTCAAAAAACAACACCTGAAATTTCATTTCAATTGGTTCAGCGGACAGGCCACTAGGGGTTTTTATGACCACCTTTTAACTACTTAATAAATCTTATCCACTTAATGACAACACTCAGAGGGGAAATAATAATGCAATTAAGATTCACAGTGCACAAATTTCATATATTTTTTAACTCAACAAATTCAACCAGAGTTCAGTTTAGGTCTTCTTTCATATGCATCATTCAATTATAAACTCGCATATATGCTAAAAAAATTTCCACGGGTTTGCACAGAAACATTTGTTCTTAAGTACAGTCATTAAATAAAAGTTTCCCAAGGTATCTGTTCACATGTACCTTCTAATGCTTACAAAGTCTTTTATGCCCTATTATCTATTACTATTCAAATCTTAAATCTAATAGAATATGAAACTCTAAGTTTGGTCACAAATAACAATTATTATGTCCTTTTGCACCTATTCTTGATAAACAAGCAGTATTTTAAAGTACCGCAAATGCTTCATATCATAACACATTTAGCCTTACAATTTTGCTACTCACCTGCCACCTTCATCAATATAAAAAGATGCAGCATTGGTTTACAATGATCACACTTTCTTTTATATGACATTAATGAAAACTGTAATATGAATGCTAGATTTTCAGAGCTAAAAGCAACATGTCAATACTCATGTATATATCAAAACCAACACAAGTGAGAAAAACTAACTCATGGAAATTAGAAGACAGAAAAATTTTATTTATACAGTACATGAAATCAAAAAGTTATGTACAATGCATTCAGTATCTACATAGAACTGTTTATGTACAGAAAATTATCACAAGTTTCTTCAAACTAAACTTTTAATGATTTGAGTTCAGTCAAGAAGCTTCTACATTTTTCTCGCAATATGTCTATAGCTTCTGTCACTAGAATTTCCGGAGCCAGAGCTCCAGCTGATTCCACTGTAACTGAAAACGGATAAAATCAGTTAATATAAATCAGTAATAACTCCTCATAGTTTCTCCTTCAGACAGATTTAAACAAATTCCATGTATCATTTCCCAAAATTTTTCCATACTTTGAATATTAATGTTGGAAACAAAATGAGAATGTCTTTATTTGCATTTACTTCATTTAAAATTAAAGCACAAAGTTAAGTTTCAATAAATTAATCGAGGGCAAAAAGGTCTATGAAATAACACTAAATTAATTCATTGTGAATTGTAAGAAAGTACAGTTGTCAAAAACACAGCCCCAATAACTTACTTTAGAATTATCGTTGTGTAAAGCATGCTACACCTCAGCTTTCTTCTGGCAGAAGTTTCAGTTCAAATTTAGAACTTTAAAAATGAGGCGTAAGAGAAAAAAAAAGGTCCCTTTGGGTACTTGGTGGACAAATATGTACTTAATGATATGATTAATTTTGTAACTTGTTCTTACTTATGCTTATATTTATTGTTTCACTAAGATGTGCCTCTTTATTTGTGGATTACTTTGTTTGACTTTGTAGTTTACCATACGGCGAGCAGTCATGCGGGAAGAAAAGGTAGGTTTAATTTTGATATTTTTATTGGAAAAAAAAAGGTCTATCTTTGAGGAAATAAAATTATTAGTTAATTTTTTAACAATAGTAATGTCAGCAAATAATCATTTATTGTTGATTAGGGCAGAATTTTAAGAAGTGATAATATTACATGTGCATGAGTTTCTAATGGACTGAATGCACACAAAACCAATAAAAGCTGAAATTTATTAAAAAAATTATATAAAATTTATTTATTTAAAAAAAATTGAATTTACATGAGCTTATATAAATTTCAAAAAAAAAGAAAAAAAAAAAAAAAAAAAAAATTCTAGAACTTTTCACAACATAAAAGTACTCATACAGCTCTTCTCAGTATGATAGAACACAATCAGTAGTTACCACTTAAAACTAATAAGAACCTTAAACACAAGGCACTGCAAAGAGAAAGCTTGCACGTTGATCTCTGCGTATTCTGAACTAAACAGAAAAACTGATGCTCTCTCCAGTATATTATCCCCTCTTCTTCAGAGAAATTTCAGGTACCGATTTTTCAAAGATTGCTGGAAGGCATAAGGAGTTACATACGGCTGGATATAGTTACAGTGGGATCCTTTTTACAGTGGGATTTTGCCATGCTTTGCATGATAAAGATTATTTGCCAAAACCATTACCAGCTTGGCACTGTCTCGCCAATTTGACGAGATTGAGGTAAATGGACTTACTCCTGTAACCATAGCTTTAGAGCAATGCTTTGCATTCTCACACTTTTCATACTACTTTTTACACAAGAGACACAATTTACATATAATTTCACTAAAATTATTTATATGTATACAAAACTTGTAATAATACTTTGAACACAAACTATATATAACTAAAATGCTACCAAATTTGAAAATAGCATACAATCTGCATAGAAGCAGGTTGATAATTTTCATATGCGAACCAATAACATAGATTATCGTAAACAGTGTTAACACAAGTGTAAAACATGAAATACTCCATGATTATTGAAATCCTTAAGCCCAATTTAAAAAAAAGAAATCTTATCAATGATATCAATTTCTTTTTCAAGATTAAAAAAAAAATGGTCACTATCATTATATGTTCTGCAATATCTACAAACACATATGAACACTGCACACACACACACAAAAGGGGGGGGTCAGTTCTATATCTCTCGTTCTACTGGGCCAATTGACGAAATTCAACTTGCATTTTCCATGGCTCGAAAGCGCGACTTATGTACATATTTATATATATATGTATTATATTTATATATAGCGTTGTTCTGATATAGGTATTTTAACACAAAATCGGACTTTTTCTGAAATGACATGCCATTTTTTTTTCCATATTTCGATTCTACGACTCAAATTATGCCAAACTGCCAAGTTTTGTAAATAATCACATGAGCAGTTTTTAAAAAATTAGCTCTTAAAATTTTAGCTCCTCAATGTTAGTTGAATTTGATATATATTTGTTAATATCTCCTTTTTTTTTTTTTTTTTTTTTTTTTTTTTTTTTTTTTAAATTAAACTTACTCGATTCCTTCTTCCAGAATTTGAAATTTAGGCTTAATCAAAATGATTTATTTCTAAAATCTGTATTTTTAAATATTATTTTATAAATTTTTTGAAAAAAAAAATTTGTATTATAACCTATAAAATTTTTAACATCATCTTAAAATAGATGTGTTTCTAGGTACATCTGCAAAAAATTAGAGTTTTTTATTTAATATTTGTAAGATGTACATGAATTTACATATTGGCACGTTTTCAAATTTGGCATATATGCCATAAGCGATAATAACGTCAAATGTGGCTTACGTACTTTGTTAAAATTATTTGAAAGTATGAACAATGACTTTTTAAGCTCGTGTACAATGAAAAAAAAGGGTAAGGAAAATAGGTTAAGAAGTTTACCAAGTGAATTATTATTAGTAAATATATAGATTTTTGAATTTCACACCAAATTTTACAAAATTTAATATTTAGGCATAATTAGAGTCATAGAACCGAAATACGGAAAAAATTGGCATGTCATTTCAGAAAAAGTCTGACTTTATGTCAAAATGCCTATATTAGAACAATGCTATATACAGGGTGTTTCATAGATCATGTGACAAACTTGGAGGGGTGGTGGAGCATACGAAAACATGCATTTTTTTTTTATAGGAATGTAAGGTTTAAAGTGACGGGTTAAGGCAGAAACGCAAAAAAACAACACAAGAGGAAAATATGTTTATGTACAAAATAAACGCAAGTGCTTCTTTGTAGCAATACAGTATTCACAATAAAAAATGCAACCACCAGCAGTAATACTTGCTTAATAACGTCGCAGAAGGGATTGATGAACATTTTGAAAAACAACAGGCATTTCGTGCATGCTTGTAGCCGCAATGGAAAGTCATGCAACGAGGTCCTCCAATGAGTCAATGGGTGTCTCGTAAATCATGCTCTTCAGATGGCCCCATAAAAAAAAAATCCAAGCTGGATAAATCAGGCGAACGGGGTGGCCATCAAACGAGTCCACCATGGCCAATTTATTAGCCAGGAAATGTCCCATTCAAGTAATTGCGGATTCGCACGTGGTTATGGGCTGGTGCACCATGCTGGAACCACATGCGATCACGAACGACAGCCGGAACATCCTGCAGCAATTCCTGTAGCACCTCTTGCAGAAAAATATAACAACATAAGCCATTTGTATGTGCAGATAAGAGGTATGGGCCTATGAGGTAGTCGTTAACAATACCCGACCACACATTCACGGAGAAGCGGGTTCGGAATGCATGTGGACGTGTGCCGTGTGGATTATGAGTTGTCCACACGTACATGTTGTGGCTATTGAAGATGTTGCCGTCCTGTGAGAAAGTTGCCTTGTCCACGAATAGCACATCCGATGGGAAATCCGCCTGCGCCTTACACTGCTGCAAGAACCAATGACAGAAATGAACTCGAAGAGGGTAATCTGTATCTTGCAAGGCTTGGACTCTCTGCAAATGGTATGGGTGCAAATCATTTTCATGCAATACTCTCCAAATGGTGGAATGACTCAGCTGCAAACGACCTGCAATAGCTCTTGTACTTGCCTGAGATGATTGGCATGATTCATGCACAATGTTCAAGATGGATTCTTCAATGCGAGGTTGTCGTGGACTTCTTCCACTCCTAGTGTCACAGGTGGCTTCAAATGACCCGTTTTCACACAGAGACTGATGCAACCTCTTGAACATTGTGTACTTCAGCATATGCCTGTTCGGAAACCATTCCTGGTACAACCGTAGCACTGCTCTGCTGTTTCCCATTAGCAGCACCATACATGAGATACAGTTCAGCTTTTTCCGTGTGCGCAAACTCACTCATCACACTCGACATCAGAGTTGCGAATGATCCTCTGATGCATCGGATCGTGGTTTGTCTGGCTCACTGCCGCCCTCTACAGCTGCACTGCCAGCCAATCGCAGCTGTTGTTCCTATTACTGTTCCCCCCTTTTTTTAACATTTATTGTGAATACTGTATTGATGCAAAGAAGCACTTTACGTTGATTTTGCACATAAACACATTTTCCTTTTGTGCCTTTTTTTTTTTTTTTTTTTTTTTTTTTTGCGTTCCTGCCTTAACCCGTCACTTTAGACCCTACATTCCTATACAAAAAATACATGTTTTAGTACACTCCACCACCCCTCCAAGTTTTTCCCATGATTTATGAAACACCCTGTATATGTAATGAAACTGTGGTTCGATGGCATGACATAAATGATTTGATCATGAATGCGGTATAAACTTGCATTAAATTTTTCGGTGAAACAAGACTTTTCCCACGATTCACTCTGAACATAGCTTAAGAAACTCGTGCGGATTTTGTCATAATTAGAACTGGCCGAAAAACGTAATGACAGAACACTTTTGGAGGCACTGAAAAAGAGCACTGAGATGTAGATGCGTAGAAATACTAATTGCATAGATACTTGATGCTTAGAGTGTCCGTCCATTTTGAAGAAGAAAGTTGAGCCAGATTAAATTCCTTTTTTTTAATTTAAATTCTCATTTTGTGGCCAGAATTCACTTGGCACTCACTCTATTCGTGCCTATTAAAGAACATTTACAGTTTTGTTATTATTGCCATAGAAGCGAATGTAGCAGCACACGCATGATTGCAGAAAGGCGTCTGGTCAAGAGGAAAGCACAAGCAAAAGTGACGCATCAGTTCATAGAGAAAGAAGGGAGAGAGTCAAAAGTTTCAGTTTTGGTTTACAATTGGGTTATTGGTCGAGAGGCATCTGCATTAAGGGTTACACAAGATCGCAGGATTAATTTGAATGACGCAGTTTAGACTTAAGTGCTATTTTTAGGACAGATAAATGAAGTTCACAAATGAAATAAAAAAGGTTATAGTGAATTAAATTTAGAAGTTTCCTTTCATATTTTTTATGAATTAAATTTAGAAGTTTCCTTTCATATTTTTTATCTTACATTTCAATCTAACATATATATCCTAAATCGTGGTTTCGACACATGAAAAACACAATTTGAATTTTGTCAATCAGCCCAGTAGAACAGGAGATAAAGAACTGTCCCCCCCTTTTTTTTGTGTGTGTGTGTGCAGTGCACCATTCAACTTACAAATCTAAGCATATGTACAGGATGATTCTAAAATATCTGGTAAAAATATACAAGCAGGTACAGGAGATCAAAATACACAGATTTAGTAGTGGAATGTGCATGCAAAAATGATGCATAATGAAGGTATGAACAACTGGTAAGAGAGATTGGTTACATCAAAAGAGGCAAACATTTTAACATTTCCACTTTTCACAATAGCTGTTTGAAAGTATGACCTCCAACAGTAATGCAAGATTTACTTAATATATTAGTATTGGTTTAAAGCATTATTTCATATACAAGGTGATTCTAAAATATCCGGCATAAATGTAAAGGCAGGTAGAAAATCATCAAAATAAATATATTTTATAATGGAATATTTGCATTACAGCAATGGTGGATATGCTTGAATGTTCAGTGATTCAGCTGTGTACTTTGGAACTTGTTTATTATATATCCTGTGGACAACTGCTCTATTTCCATTTGCAGCCCTATCGATAAAATTTTGTCAGCAAGCTTTGCTTTTGTGCAGAGATGTTACAGTGCTTGAAGCAAAGCTGGGAATTATGATTTATGCCAATGGACTGCTTTCACGAACCAATTTCAACACAGCCATTTTCTACCTAAATCTGCCATTTACATGCTCGCATTTCATTAAAAAATCTACTTATTTTGGTCCCTTCTACCTGCCTTTACATTTTTATCATATACTTTAGGATCATCTTTTATATGTACATACATTCTATTGTTACATCTGGAAATACTGTTTGAATCAGTATTTATTCCATAACTTTCATTTCAGATCTTGTGGCAACATTATGACTCATTTCTTTCAAGTAGTCTGGCAGATGCATGTTAACATTTTACTTGCAATTCTGAAATACCAGGCAAAAATGTAAAGACAGGTACAAGAGAGACTGAAATAAGTAGACTTGTGTAATGGAAAGCTTGAGCGGCAATGGTAGCTGCTGAGATCGATAGTGAAAGTTATCCACTGGCATAAACTGCTATTCCCATGCAGATTTCAAGCAGTTTTTTGTGGACATGAATTTTATTTATGGTACAGCAGACAGAAATGCAGCAGCTGCTCAAAAGATAAACAGAGAGACAGTTGCTGGATCACCAAATGTTAAAGCAAATTAACTGGGAGTTCCACAAAAGTGAATTTGGTATTATGATTGTTGATTATACTTTCAAGCACCTATTGTAAAAAACTGATTGATTAAAATGCTTGTGTTTTTTTGAATTTACTTATCTTTCATACCAATACTTAAATGAGCCATTTCTGCACACGCATTCCATTATAAAATCTGCTTATTTTGGTACCCTTCTACTGGCCCTTACATTTTTGGCAGATATTTTAGAACAACACTGTAAATAAATAAGTAAGATTTAGCAAAGAGGAGACCAATTTTAAAATGTGATATCCTACCAATCCCTTTTTGCTAAAATTTTTTAAAGTTTTTTGTAGTTCATTATCATCACCACAGCAGTCAATGTAAAATTCCCAATAATTTTTCCTTTTTTAATTCAATAACAAAATTTTCCCACATTTTCACCCACAAGAATAGCATGGAATGAAATATTGTGGGCAATATACTGGCATCAGCTAATTCAATTAAAAAAAAAAAAAAGTATATAAAGCAGAAGATCAAAACTCTGCTAACCACATAATCTTTCAGATGTTCAGTTTATTCATAATTATACCTGAACCTAACCTTTTAATTATTTAATTCAAATGAACTCAAACTATTTTATTACAAAACGAAGAAAAATCAGCTGAATATAACACTTTTCCAGGAATGACTGAAAATCACCCATTTCAAATCTTATATGATAATATCCAGTTACTCCACCTGCCAGTTCTGTGAAAGTAAAAATCAGAAGATATTTGGTCGATAATAAAATTCATGGGAAAAAAAGAATAAAGTGTTTCACAGAAAACTCATGCATGTCTAAATATTTTGAAATTATTACATGGAGGAAAATATGGTACTATTCTGTTTTGAGGACTGTGAACAAATTGCAGCGAAAATGTAATTTTAGTACATTATCACTGTTTTAATAATGTAATAATACATAAATATTCTGATTAAAAATATTATAAAACTGCAAACTGCCAAATCAAACTTTTCCTAAATAAAATCAAACTTTTTCTAGATAATTTTCTGAAAATTGCAAAATTGGTAATAAGTCGCTAAACTTAGCATGGGGAGAACTTGTTTTTGATGCATGAACATATTCAAGTGGTAGCTGGAATGTCTTCCAAGAGTGTGAGCTTCAATTACAGATTTAGCAACTAATTGCCAAACAGGCACAATTTTAAATATCTTTACAGAAACTGCGAATTTATGAAAAATTAACTTTGCACATAAGATCATAAAACTAGAACAGTTTTTAAAAAACTTACAAAAAAGTTGGCAGGTGTGTTACAAACTAAAACCTATCTTGAATTTACAGCAAGCTTAGGCAAAATATAATTTAATTTAGAAAAATATTATTTCAATCATCCTTTTCCCTCTCTAAAGAAAAACTGTTACGAATAGTAGCTGCCAACAAGCTGTTAGTAGTCTTGAAAACTATGAAAGAATGACTCTTTTAATGAAAATAAAATTTAAATAATTTTATCTTTTTTGTTATGATCTACAATATGAAGCAGTTAAAAAATATTAAAAAGTCTGTTACCCAGTTTAACAATTTTTGTAATTACATAGTGGTTGCATTTTTCAATAAGTGCCCTTTTGTGATAATAAAATGGTCTAATTCTAAATTACAAGAAAAAATGCATGGATGAAGGATAAGGGAAAGAGAGAAAAATTATAATATGCAACTTACAAATATAGTGGTCTTTGACTTTAGATACTTCAACACTTTCTTTGAACTCTTCATGAAGATACACATTTCGATTGCAAAGACACTTCCTAACATCATTTACTTTTGCAACTTCCCTGTCTAAAGAAGAAAAGCAAATTAAAAAAAAAAAATCATTTAAGCAAGTGATACTTTCAGCAGTAAATTAAAAGGATTTGTAACTGTTTTAATATAGTTATAACTATAAACACTTGAATTTAGTCAAAATTTGATCTAAAATTGAAGTTTGATTTCATGTATTCTTCAGAATCTGTTCTTTCTTTGTTGTTAGCAAAAAGCGAATGAAACAGCTTTTCATGATTCTTAATCTGAAGCATAAAAGATGATTATTTTACATTTTTATACCTACTACTCATAATAATGCATGTTACTTTTCATATTACTTCGAAACAAACCAGTCATAGAAATAATACATGAAATACAAAAATCTAAACTATTACAATATCTTTTCATAACAGGCCAGCATTTTCATCATGCAATACTAATTGGAAAATGCTTGTTTAAATAGCATACAGCTTTCTATTATAATAAAACAAGCACAGTTTTGTTTTTAATTTTACATAACAAACCTCTTTTTTCCCTAAAAAGACAATTCATTTTTATTGCCATATTTTTCCTATTAAAAATAAAAAAAAGTTTATTTTGAGCTAATTTCTAATGGTTGGCACAATTAATATTTTTGGAAAAAGAGTAAAATTTCTATACAACTGTCAAAGATTGATATAATTCTTTCACTCAAAGTTCAACTTTGCTCTAACACTTTCAGAATAGAATTTCTTAGAGTATTAGTTAAATTTTTCATGAAATCTCCAAAATTATACATTCTTGTAGGTCAGCAACTTAATCATCTAGTCACCAGAAATTGAAGTTCTGATCAGTATTGATTGTTAACTATTACCAAACCTTCAAAACATTGTTAGCTCTTTAACCCAGCCAATAAATATTCTAACACTGAAAAATGAAAACAAACTAGCTGATTTAATTCAAAACCCTTTCAGGAATATCTTAAAACTTTCATCTTACTCAAATCAAGTACCTGGCACTATAAAACGTGCATGTTTTCCCCAAACGCATTTGTTAAAAAAAAATAATTTAAGTCGCATATAAATTTTTACTGGATAATTAAAGATGAAAGAATCTTCCTGAATAACAGTTTAAATGTTACCTGCACTCTGATCAACAATTTTAGATGCCCAAAAGCATAAATAAACTCTCAAAACTTAATGTTAAAATGGTATTCTGAGCCAAACTGCATAGTTCTTGATCAACTAATTTTTTTCTAATTGATTTTGATTGTAAATTTAATGAAAGAAAAACCCCAGCCAGTAATTATACGATTTCAAAATATGTATAAGTTAGGAAAATGCATCAACAATATCACTGTTCTTTCCATACATTACTAATATATTTCACCTTAATTTTGCATACTAATTGGGACACTTTATTTTATTTCCAGAACTAATTTGTAATTTAAATAACAAAAGACTTGAAAACAAAACTGTGAAGATGCACACAATTTAGAGATCTGATCTTGTGAAATTCAGACACTGTAAAATATTCTATTGACAGAAAATAATATAAATAATATTATATAAAATATAAATAAGAATAATATATTAAATAATAATATAATTAGAAAACATTGAATTCTTTAATAGGTAGTGCATATAATTTTAATATAGTGAGGGTTTTATATATACAGTCAAAAGTCTTTAATCTGGACTCGCCAGGACTTTGCGATTCCGGATTATCGGTTTTTCCGGATTATAGATAATCAACTTAAATCTGGTAAGATGGCATGCAGAAATTATAAAATTAAAAATATGAAACCGTAATTTATGAAATAAAGAGCAATTATGATCTAAAGGAAATCAAAATTTACAAAAAAAAAAAAAAAAACTTTATATTTATTTGTTTACTTTATTAAACATTTCTCTCAATGCACGCATGCGTAAAGCATACATTATGCATAGTCGGAATTAAAAAATTGCAACCAGAAAACTATTTGATGTGCATTCGTGATATTTATAATGATGAGGAATTTGATTTAAATCATATCAAAGACGGAGTACATCGAGATGAAATACTACATTTAGTAAGGAACTATAAGCCGAATAAAATAAAAACATCTGCCCTCAAGATAAGGATAGTGCTGACAGATCAACTTCCAGTTCAATGTGTGGCATGGCGTCCCCCCCCCCCGCAGAGCAGCGTGAAATTGATAAACAGATTTTGGAATGATTAGAGAAACAAAGGATATGCCTTTATCCATTTTTTGCAGTCATAAATTACACTTTTTGTTTGATGGACATCGAAACATGCTTTCGCTTTGTAGATCCTTTGGCAGCTCCAGAATTGGAAATTCTTTTTCACATAATCGAAAGTTCAAGCTTACTTTTATAAAATTGCTCTAACAGTCTGCAAAAAATAATAAGTTGGATCCAATTAGAAGATTAAGGAACAACACAATATGCAACACTAACTGAAATAGATAATTATATAATTTTAGCTTAGCTTATATCGTCTGTTATACATTAAACGCGCATGCGTAAACGCATTATGCGCAGTAGTTTTTAGTTTTGAGGTCCAGATTAAAGACTTTTGACTGTATATAGTTTTAAGTATGCTTGATATCTTTAACATCAAATTTTATTTCATCTGTTATTTATTAGCTAATATAGAAATAAAAACTAGCAAATTAGCACAAAAAAATTAAGTAAAATAACACATTTAATATATGCTATTAAATAGATTTTATTTAAGAATTAATTAAATAAGGGTGCAAAAGAACTCGGTTAAAGTGAGCACCAAAGAACAAACAAAATTTTCTTATTATAACCATTAATTACCATTATATCTATGATTTAAATTGTACACATATCCATGTATATTAAAATTTACAAATTACAGCTTTTATTTTTCAATATTGTGTTCACTATCATAAATTGTTCTTGCTTCGAAAAATGCATTAAAAATAATACTGACTAAATAATAAACAAGAAAAATGTTTAATTATTTTTTACTAAAATATTACCTTTCTTTTTTGATATTCTGATAACACCAGGTGGAAAACAACTAGCTAATGTATGAGCTTGTTCATTAACAATTTCCTCTTTTAATTTGATTTGAGGATGTAGTCGATATGATGCATTAACTAAAACATTAAATATGTGAATTAGTATATTCATAAAATCATACTATGCACAAAATAAAAATTAAAAAGAAAAAAAAAAAAAAAAAAAATTAAAGGTTTTTTTTTTTCTTTTTTTCCACATACCAACAGGTGAAAATTTTGCATGTTCTTTACCGATATTTTTAAAACAGTATGCTTTTAAGTCAATCTCCTGCAGGGAAAAAAAAGGTAAAATAAATTACTAAAATATTATCAAATTACCAAAATAACTACAGTAGGAGCTTAAAGGAAAAAAATAATAATAATGCCACTTAATATACAGCTAAAACATCAATTAGTTGGGATAAAACTTTACAGATCTATAAATTTACCTTCTACACTTGATGATAAAGATCAAAACGAATACAATTTTAAAGATAAAATGTTGTATTATGCATTGCTCATATCACCTGCAATCAAAATTGTTTATTCTGTGTCTTATCTAATTTTCCATTACTATTTCATATTTAAAAAAATATATTACAAATTTTTTAATATAATAATAAAAAGCATTTAATATTTTTGGTACATTCCTACTTATGTTTCTAAAATATTTGTATTTAGTAGAAATCAATTTTTCTAAGATTGCACTTCAATAAAATTTTCAAAATATCTGTAACACAAATACAATGGAACTTTGAGATATGAGTTTAATTCGTTCCAGCATTGAACTCGTATAGCGAACTTCTCGTATCTAAAACCAAACTTCCCCATTGAAAATAATGGAAATCCAGTTAATCCGTTCCACACCCCCAAAAATTTCAACATAAAAGTAAATTTTTTTAATAAATAACACTGGTAAATAATATAACCGTAGTTTATGTTTATAATAGCTTCCAACACCGACCTTTTAACTCCCTCTCATTAATCCACACCAAAAACAGATTCTCAACATCTTCTGGGAGTTTTGGACGGTGCTAGGAAGTAATGATAATTCCTTTGGCCACATCAAGTTTCTTGATTTCTTTTTGCTTTTCAGAATAGTGCAGATCATCGACGTTGAAAGGTTATAAGTCTTTGCCAATTCCGTCACTCTTACACCATGATTATGTTTCTCTATGATTTCTTTCTTAATTTCAATGGCCATGGTTTCCTTATTTTCTTTGCAGCACTATCTGAGGTAAAAATCTTCTTAGGAGGCATCGTGAAATAATTATTTTCACATTAAATGTAATAAACAATTAACTCACAAGTGCACAAACATGTAGATCAAAGGATAATGAGTGATCTGACGAGGAGATTCCCGAATCGAGCTGGATTAGGAAATGGCGCCACGCATACCAACAGCCTGGCTCATTTGCTCGTATTTAGAGAAAATTTTTCGCTCATACTTTCCTCGCATCTCGAACTTCTCCTATATAAAGGTGCTCGTATCTTGAGGTTCCACTGTATATACAAAGGCTGTCTTAAGTAATGTAAGTGGGTAATATGCATGTTAGTAGAAATTTTCACTACTTTCCTACTTTGGTTCAAAGAAAATGCATTTATGAAAAAATATAAAGCATATTATATTATTTTTGCTATTGCCAAAAATAAACAATTTTCCTACATGTTATGCATGTGGGAAAATTGTTTATTTAGCAATAAAATTAATTATTCAAATTTAGTCACAGGCAAATGAATGCAAAGGTTCATGAATTATAAAGAAGGATTCATAATTCTGTCGGCTCAACAGTATCATTAATAATAATAATAATAAAGATAATAGCTACTAACAGATAACTACATGACAAAAACTTTGAGAATAATGAAAGGACTAACAACCTGAAGCAAGCTTGCAAGATATCAAAGTATTCAAAGCAACATCACTTTCTACATTAAGCCATTTTAAAGCTCGTATGTCAGGGGTTCTCAACCAGCGGTACGCAAGAGAAAAATAGGTGGTACGCAAGGAAGCAAAGTATTTTTAACTATTAAATTCAAAAATTAAAACCTCAACATCTTGATTGAGTTTCTTCTCTACACTTGTAACTTTATGCGATCTGAGCTTTGTTCAAGGTCAAAGTCGCTGGCAGTTTTCATGGTTCTTCCATGTTTACATTTCACAAATATTCTTTTAGCCGTCCACATAACAAAATTTGTCTTAAATGATGTTTTTAAAAGGAGTGATAAAAATGAATGCTGTATTTAATAGGAAATAAAATTCCTATTAATAAGATAATAGAATCTCATTAATTCTCTTCGATTTTATCAATTTATTGACATGTCAACAACACTTTATGTTGCCATTTCGAGGTTCATATTGCTCCATTTTCAATGAGAATCATTTTTTACGTTGGTTTGCTGTCTCTAACAGCAGGTATTTTGTTTTCTTGTTGCTTTGTATTCCATACATTTTATACGATCTGAGAATATAGTTGTCTGTTTTTGAAGACCTTGTAATATATTGTGCATTTAAATATTTGTGAAAAAATAATAAAACAACCCTAGATTTTTCAAAATGCAAAAAAGGCTAGAATGGAATAAGTGGAAAAATGGCTAGGATAGAATAAGTGGAAAAGTGACGATTCGCAGGTGATGGATCCTGGACACTCTACTAGCACTATTTACATTGAAAAGAAAAATTGGTTCTAGAAAATATAATGAAAGTTATTTATTATTTAGATTTATTTGGATTGGAGATGAAATGGACCCTCAACATCAATGTGTTATTTGCAGTGAACTATTATCCAATTAAAGTATGAAACCATCATTTCTTAAAAGACAGTTTTAAAAGACCTAAGTATGCCGACTTAAAACATACAGGTTATTGAAAACGAAAAAATTCCAATTTTAAGAGGAAGTTATTGGAGTTCAAAAATAGTAGACAAGTAATGAAAGGTTTTGTTACTTCAAGTGAAAAAGCTTTGGAAGCTAAGCCTAAAAATTGCTAAGACTGGGTAGGCTCACACTATTGAAGAAAACTTTATATTACCAGCAGCTAAAGATATAGTTTTAACACTATTCAATGAAAAAGTGGCTAATACTATTCTGTTACCAAATGATACCGCATCAGGCGGTAAGATGTTAAGTGCCGGCCCTTGATTAGCCGTAAGTATATGTGAGAATTTATTTATTCAGGACTCAGCCTTAACCATCTGCAAGAAACAGACATAAGTATAATAAATAAATTTAAAAAAAAATACAATTTAGGCTTAATTACCTTAGTGCGCGATACAAGCAAGACAAAATTTAGCGAAACAACTTGTCTTCAGTCGCCAATCTGATGACAGCTGATACTGAAGCTGCTGAAGAGTTTGCAGATGAATTTATTGAATTCACTAATGGTGAAAAGTTATCTCAACAAATTTACAACACTGATGAAATTTGCCTTTTCCGGCAATATGTACTGTGAAATACCTTAGCAATCTTTACCGAAATGGCTTCAACTGGTGTCAAAGATTCCAAAGCAAAACTAACAATTTTAGCATGTGCGAATGCTGCAGGAACGCACTAGTGTAAACGTTTCGTAATCGGAAAAAGTAGTGCACAACTTCGAGCATAAATTAAGATGATATAAAAGAAGTTTTTCATTGTGATGACAATGCTTCTCAATCATCGATCAATTAATGACTGGCGAAATCCGTAGTATGGTTCCAGATACGGAAACTACCACTAGTGAAGAAAGTGACATAGAGGTTATTGAAAATGAAAAAATTCCAATTGATAAGTTAGTCAGAATTCTCGACACAGCAATTCCAGGACTTGAACAAAAAATTAGATTTATCTGTAGAATTAAAGAGAAAGTATTAGCACAAAAAATGAAACAACTTACACTGAGGGAAATGTTTAATAAAGTAAACAAATAAATATTAACATTATTTTTGTATATTTTGATAGTCTTTAGATCACAAATGCTTCATTATTTCATAAATCTCCAATTCATATTTTTAATTTTATAAGTTTTACATGCCATCTGATGAGATTTAAACTGATGATAAAATATCCGGATCCGACGAGTTTGGATCTTGGACTTAGTACCGTATTTATAGAATCTTTATAATTTTAATCTTAGTTTGTAATTTGATTTGCAAATGATATTCCTGGTTTTAAAATCTGTGTTATGCTGTTTAAAAAAAAAAATATATGAAAAATGAGCCTTCTAGTAAATTACACAAAGTTTGGTTTGGGTATCATTAGACATCCCAAATGTAAGTGATACAAATCCAAATCATAGGGGTAGCAGGTTAAGATAATTTAGGGAAAAATACACCCAAGAACAACTAAATATCATAGGCTATATGATTAAGACACAATAACATGCCGAATAAATACTAATTCAGAAGTCAAACAACAAAAATCAGTGTTATATTTACAAAATTTTCACAGGACTAGTTTCGTAATTTTACCGAACCACCATTTTCAGCTGCAAAACCGCAAATGAACAAGATAGGAAATAATGATTAGATAAGAAAGCCTGGACAAGAATAAGCAAGTGGCGCCATCTGTTGGTGAAACCAGAACTAAAACATAATTTCTTTAAAGGCCGAAGGCAAATTTGGATTGGAATTAGGATCGTTAACTAGAACAGAAAGATTTTTATGAATGTGAAATGCCTCTAGAAAATCCAGTTCTCCAATGGAAGATGTTTTTTGAATAATTTTGGCAGCAGAAAAACTGAAAGTGGTTTTTCGGACCAACAATGTTGAGCAACAACAGAAGACTTCTGTGTTTCCGTTTTTCTAACATATGCCTCATGTTCCTTGACGCGAAATTTTAAGGCTCTCTTAGTTTGGCCAATGTAAATTAAACCACACTGGCAAGGAATCCTATAAATACCCCAGGAATTCATATCCAGAATGGGGTCCTTGAGTATGGAACTCGGAATTTTATTGATGGGAGAATAAACAACCCGAAAGTTAAATTTCTGCAAAATATGTGCGAATTTTTATAATCTCCTAAAACAAGAGTGTGCCTTTTAGTGTGTTGAGATGAGAATTTTTTAACTGCTTGATTAATAATGTTGGGTGGAAAGCCCCTGTCAATAGCTATTGCTTTTAAATAATTTAGTTCTTCATCAAGGGCTAGTTTGGAGGAGCAAACTTGAAGAGCACGGAAAACATAGGAATAAAATGAAGCTAACTTTTGTTTAGTCGGATGACATGATTTAAAGTATGGTGGAAGGCAAACCGATGAAAGTTTACGGTAAACCGTAGTACTGAAGTTGGATGTGTTACGTGTGACCAGAATGTCGAGAAACGGAAGAGAATTGCAAGTCTCAAGTTCAAAAGTGAACTGAATAGCAGGATCAATAGAATTCATTGTTGAAAGAACTTTATTTAAATCATCTTTATTACCTTCAAACAGAGTAAAAGTATCGTCTACGTAGCGGAACCATGCTGGGAAGTTTAAAGTTTCAAAAATTTTGATTCATAATAATGCATGTAGATATCAGCCAGGATGGGACTGAGGGGGCTTCCCATGGCTAATCCCTCAGTTTGCTGAGGAATTTTGCAAAAAATTTTGTAAATATAACGCTGATTTTTGTTGTTTGACTTCTGAATTAGGCTATATGATGTTGACAATACTTTGAAAAATCAAACACTTCTCATTAAAAAATTATGAAGCATCAGAACTGGAAATCAACAGAAATTTCAGATCTCGTATAAGTCATAGTAGAATTCTCAAAAAACTTACATGCCCTGGTTTCAATACCGCAAGCAAAATGTCATCATGTACAGGCTTTATATCTTCATACTGAAACAGATTACCATTATCCATGTATTATTTTCCAAATTTTATTTATATATGTATAAAAGCTGGATCATTTACAACAATCCAAAATATATTTAAACACATAGTCAATCAAATGCAATATAAGCAACCACTTTTAACCTGTTCAGGACCAGCATCGCGTATACGCGATGCAACGATTCCACTCTTATCAGCCCAGCGTCGCATATCTGCGAAAAGCTCTGATCAATCTCTACAGCCTAGCGTTACTTATACATAACTTGAAAACAGAATGATTTATTTGAATTTTTAAATGCCAGTAGATGATGCTAAATGGTAACGGTTTTCACTTCGGTTAAGTCATGTGGCTTTTGACCTTCCTGCATGAGCATCAGTTTCTGTTCTGTGCTCCTGGTTTTGATAGATTTATTAGTGTAAATAACCTGGGAATCACAGCTCTTTAAGTGAAAGAGATACACTGGGGTGTTTATTTCGTTAGGATTTTGTTGTTGTTGTTGTCTTCATTTTTATTCTTTGCGTTTTTTGTTATTAGGATGTGGGGAAATGCATCCAGCTCAATGTTTCCTTTCTTCTTTGTTGCTAGAAGAATGTGGTTAAACGCATCTATCTGATCATAGCAGGTGTAACGTCATCGAACTTCTGTGAGGGAAAATCTCACACCAGTTGTACTTTTTTATATTTATTTTAAAACCTAACATAGACTTTCTTGGTTAATTAAAAAGTAACTTTACAGCTTTATTACAGAAGGGGAAAGGTATCAGCTTTCCCAATGCATGATGCATCTTACTTGCTCAGCATATACTTGGCGATAAAAGCCGCCATTATCCTGTTTGTCGATTCTCGTTTTGAATTTTTCCCACACAGAGCAGAATTATTAAATTGGAATTTAATTACTTACAGATAATTATTGTTTAATTTTCTTTTACATTTCATAGTTGTAATTTTGTTGTCATGTGTATAGTATTTGTTTTCATGCTTATAGTTATAATTTAAGTATTACACGTTTAATTTATTTCTGTTAATGTGATACTCTTTATATTATTACATATTAATAATTCATATATTACATACGTAACTTCAAAAATTGAGGTTACTATATTAAAATGCTGATTTTATATGAATTTTTTTGTAAAAGTAGGCTTAATTTTTAAAAATGCGTGGGACGGTGGCGGCATTCCATTTCAGGGGGTTCGGTTCCATGGCTGCACTCCATTCTCCGTGCGATGGTTCTCAAGTGGTTAACAATTCATACATATATACATACCCACAGTGGCGTAGCCCGTATAGGGTCATAAGGCAAACTTTGTTTGGCAAAGTAGACCGGGCTGCACCCTAAACTCACATACCCACAGATAACATATTCTAAGTCTTAAAAGCAAATACATGAAACCATCAATAACACCAAGCTCTTTTGACGTACCTTAATAAATAATAGTTTATACATTCTACTTCTAATTAAATTTATGCAAAATTTATTGAACACAATATACTCTCTCCTGTATGAATGAAAGCAACATAAACTGACATTTGGGCTTGCTTGCATGTCCTTTAGCACTTTACAATCTCTTCTTGTTTAGCAATCAGTAGATCTCTTGGATGCTTGATAGGTGGATTCATCATCATTTCTATGCTGTGGCAGACTGGTTCGACTTAAGAAGATGAGCAGAAGAAAACATCTTGAAATTCTACAAGGCCATGCTTTTCAACACTCTCTCTTCATCACTTAATTGTGCATCATGGAATAATTATAATATTAGGCTCTTCAAAGACACAGAGACGGAAATACTATTTACTCGTTTAATGTAGGTCACCAGAGTAATGAATTAGTTTATATTTTTATAATGTTTACATTATTTCATACTGCATTTCACGATTATCTGCTTATATTATTTTATATTATATATTAATGATGAAAATTACCTATTAGTGTTCATATCTGGACTGTAGAATTAGTTGTTCTTCAAGCTGTTAAATTGTATGTTTATAATTTTCATATCGAAATTTGGATTTTTAATGGACGGCAACACATTTAGTTAGTTCTATTGTAGAAATTCTCACTTGGCCATCTGGATTTGGCTAAGCAACATATCAGAGCATGTTCTAGTATTGAATGTAGTAATTAACATTAATAATGTTGTTAGTTCTCTTTTTATACAGTCCACTCATTAGTTTAGAATTACAGAAACATAGTACACATGTAAAAACAATGTTTTAATAACACAAGCTAAAATTAAAAATATAAATCAATTTTCCTAAAACAATAGAATAATTTACCATTCTCTGTTGGTTTGTAAGGGGTACAAATTTCATATCTCGAGAATACACTGCAAAACAAAAAATATAAGTTAAAGAAACTGAATTTGAATTCTGGAAAAAAAAAAAAAAAAAAAAAAAAAAAAACATTGAAGTAAAACAATTGGCAAAGCCATATTATTACAATAGCAAATAAAAATATTCTGCAGCCAAAAATGATCATATGAAGACAGCACGTGATCATATAAAGACAGTATGGAAAATTTCAGCCAGCTGATTTCAGGTATATAAAATCAGTTTTTCTTTGCCATTTTTAAATTAAGCTTATTTCTGCATATACGACATCTGAACTATTTTCAAATTTTCTGATGTGGCTTAAATTGAAAAGCTGAATTTACTTATGTTTTTAAATTACTGAATTTACTTATGTTTGTATTTATGCATAATTATAATTACATAATGCTTATTCAGAGCCATGCCAAATGCAATTTAGTATGAGACAAACCTCAGTATAGCACCCTGTAATTCTTTTTAATACTTTGATAATAATATTTCATTTATGAACTTCCTTTTTCAAACCTTCCATAAATAAATACAAGAATGGAAAATTTGATACCAAATTCATGCTACAATTAACACATAAAAATTTAGCATTACGTTATGTTAGGAATAATATGTTTTGTTTTAGAAAATTTTCTAAAAAGATTTACCTCTCGAATGATTATACATTATGTCATCTGGAGCACAAACATCCTTTGTAGCATTTGGTTTGCGTGTACACTTTACTTTGAGCTCAAATACAAGGGTATCTTCTTCAGTTACATTATCATCATCTGTTTTAGGTTATAAAATAAAAACAAAATTTATAATTCAAATGCATAAGACTATGAATAAATAATACGCATTGAGATTAACCAATATTTATTTATTTATTTTACTTTTAAATAAAAATAAATTCATATTTTGAATAGAAACATCCCAGAAGACAGAAAACTATCTTCTCTTTCAAACTGCTTACATAGGCAATGTAACATGAATTTAGAATACCATAGAATGTAACCATATGGACATGCCTTACTATGTTAGAATATTTTTTACATGTGATTTTCTACATTAGACTGGGTGATTTATAAAGAAGTACAGTCAAAAGTCTTTAATCCGGACTCGTCGGGACTTCGGCAATTCCGGATTATCGGTTTTTCCGGATTATTGATCATCAGTCTAAATCTGGTAAGATGGCATGCAGAAATTATAAAATTAAAAATATGAAACCGTAATTTATGAAATAAAGAGCAATTATGATCTAAAGGAAATCAAAATTTACAAAAAAAAAAAAAAAAAAAAAAAAAAAAAAAAAAAAAAAAAAAAAGAGCTTTATATTTATTTGTTTACTTTATTAAACATTTCTCTCAATGCGCGCATGCGTAAAGCATACATTACGCATAGTCGGAATTAAAAAATTGCAACCAGAAAACTATTTGATGTGCATTCATGATATTTATGATGACGAGGAATTTGACTTAAATCATATCAAAGACAGAGTACATCGAGATGAAATACTACATTTAGTAAGGAACTATAAGCCGAATAAAATAAAAACATCTGCCCTGAAGATAAGGATAGTGCTGACAGATCAACATCCAGTTCATTGCACATCGCGACGTTCTCCCGCAGAGCAGCGTAAAGTTGATAAACAGATTTCGAAATGATTAGAGAAACAAAGAATATGACGTTATCCAATTTTTGCAGCAATTCCACTTTTTGTTTGATGGACATCGAAACATGCTTTTGCTTTGTAGATCCTTTGGCAGCTCCAGAATCGGAAATTCTTTTTGACATAATCGAAAGTTAAGCTTACTTCTATAAATTTGCTCTAACAGTCTGCAAAAAATAATAAGCCGGATCTAATTCGAAGATTAAGGAACAATGCAATCTACAACATTAAATGAAATAGATAATTAGATAATTTTAGCTTAGCTTATACGTCCTTTATACATTAAGCGTGCATGCGAAAACGTATTGTGCGCATGTGTGAATGCATTATGCATTGACGCATGCGCAGAAAGTTTGTAGCTTTGAGGTCCGGATTATGGGTGCCCAGATTAACGACTTTTGACTGTATATACTTTCCAGATGCTGTAAAACAGTAACAGACAAAGACACACACCACCTCAGAATATCGTAAGATAGATGTACTCTTAAAAGTTTGTGTCTCACACCTGATGGAAGTAACATAGCAATAGTATGCGTGTCCTAGTCAGTCGAAAAAGCGGCACCTGCAGTGGAGAAGACTTTTTGTGTCCTTGAATTTAGCAAAACGGAATCCGTAACTGCTGTGCTATGGCATTCAATCACAATTCTGATAAGAACATTCAACTAGAAAATCTATCTATCAATGGCATGAAAAATTTAAAACTGCACACTGTTTATGCAAAAGACCTGGAGGACCGACTGTATCACAAGGAGTCGCAGATAGAGTTCACACTGCCATTCAATGAAGCCCAGGAAAATCAACGCAGAGGAAAATTCGTGAAGTGGAGATTTTTCAGCCCACTGCCTGGAGAATTTTGAGAAAGAAGCTCAAAATGATTCCATACAAAGTGCAAGTGTTGCAAAATCTGAGTGATTTTAGCAAACAATAGTGCTTTGAATTAAATACTCTCGTGCAATTTAACTCGTTTACATCCTGGAGAGAAAATGTGAGAGAAATATGAGAAAATAGAAAAGGCCCACAAATTAAAATAATTATTAGTAAAAGTAAATGAAACCCAACTAACTAAGATTAATAATATCTTAGTAGGTTATATTAATATAACCTACTAAGATAACTTATATTAATTTGTAATTTAACATGCCAAACATATATGCATAGACTATACATAATAAAGGTCTGAAATCTTGATTTCTTGAAAAAGGGAATGGTTCAGATAGCTATATAAACTTCTCAGATTTTCAAGAATAAGTTTTAAAATCCAAACTTGTAGACAAAAATTAAAAGTTCAGTTAAAGTTTCTTTATTTTAAAAATTCCAAATAGTTTCAGTTATGAAGAATGATTGTCAGAAAATGAATTTAAAATTTCAATACATTTAGTAACAAGTGAGAAAATACACCAAAAAATTAACAAAAGTTAGCATTTTAGAAATGCTACATCCTTAGACTGGATTGCCAGGCTTTTACAGTATTTATGTACGAACTGATACTTGTGATTTTCATAAACAATATTTTGTCAGTAATGACATATTATAATTTTGCTAGTGAAAAATTTGCCAATAAACATCTGGCTAGCTGTTGCAAGGATGTGTAACCGTATCCATCATTTTTAAACTGCACATTTAATCTTCCTCCATTTGCTCTATCTTGGATTTCCTTTTTTATTTTTTATCCCCCCCCCTTAATTTTGTTATTACAAGTCTCTACAATTTGTCACATCATGAAAACAAAAGTTAGCCATTTTTTTTAAAGTTACAACAAAGAGTCCAAGAATTGAGTACATTAATTTGAATACCATGAAAGCTTATAATGAAAATATAACATAGATAAGGACACATAAACTAAAAATAGTGGAAATTTTTTTGAAGAAAGACTAAATTAGTGATCATTTTCTGACTTATTTATTATTGTGCTTTTACGATTACATAGGTACATTTACATATCAACTGTTATAACTAACAATTCCAGAGAAATAGCATGCAACAGTTAATATATAAGTACTTAAATTTCTCCAACATTTATATGGAAATTATGCAAATACATAAAATTCTTAAGCATTCAATATTATTTTGTAAATGAAACAGATGTTAAGATTTAGATGGTAAAAAAATGCACACCTACTGCAAATTAAATAGTTTTAATTCCTGCAAGCTTTCATTTCAGACAAATTTCTGTCAAATATTAGAAATAAATAAATGAATCATACTTCTGTAAATATGCCATCTTAATTAGATCTAGCACTTCCATCTCAAATAAATGAAAATTTTCATTTTATAGAACCAATCCAACAGCATATTGTGAAAAGAGGGGAACTAAAACTAAGAGATAAGAAACACGGGCCTGCTCTTTTGAAAACTTGAAATTTTAAATTGTTTTACCTGGATTTTTAAATTGAAACACACGAGGATCAACATTGATTGGAACTAAGCCTAAGCGATGAGCTAAAACTTCATCTGGAATTATTGTTGTATTATTGTACATTTCAACCTTATCAATAGCCATCGTGGGAACCTAAATGAAAAGAGGAATTAAAAAAACATGGAATTGCTCCTCTGATGCCTTAATAATCAAAAAAAGTTTCCTTTTCAATAAAGGCATACAAAGAAATGACTGTATGCATAATTTTCATTTAGTAAAATTGATCAACAAAAATATACTTATAAATATGCATATTTGTCTCTGTTATTCTAAGTGTAAATATTATTTTTATGGGAGATATACACTGAGAAATACATAAATTAGACTAATACAACTATAGACCATATGGGACTAAATCTATATCATATTAAATGCTATCAATACTTTCAAGTTTAAAAAAAAAATACACAAATACATAAGCTCTGCAAATTAATGCATTAACAGTAATTCATAAAGTGGAATTGCATAAGAAAAGTTGAAGTATTAATTTGAATTTTGCTGCCAAAAACTGCACAGCATGACAATAGTGTACTTCAGATTGTTTTATTTTGGATTAAAAAAATCTTGGTTATTATCTTTATAAGATTTCATAAAGCATGAATTCATAAAGTGGAACATAATTCTATTTTCAAATGTCATATATATAATACAGTATATTAAAGTATTAACCCCTCTGTCAAAAAAAAATGAATTAGGTAATGTCCAAATAGAATTTTTTTTTGAACATAACTAGCTGATGATTATTCTTAATTAAAAAAAATCAACCATTTACTTGTAAATCATCCTAATCAGGAACACACAAATATTTATTTAAATTAATTACTTTTGGGATTTTATACAATATTTATAACAAATTGTGTATTATGAGATTTATATAAATGATACCAGAGGACTTTGGTTAAGTTTACTTTAATTATAACATCCTTATTTTATTTAGCATATAGTAACATTTTAATTATAATATCCTTTATTTTTATTAGTATATGGCTAACAAAATAAATTATGTTAAATACATATCAAATCAATTTTATTTCAGATATATACATAATTACTAAACATGTTCGCAAGTCTTTATGATTATTATTTTACACTTTGGGGGGGGTTAACAAATTCTATTTCCTCATGTTCCACAAAGTATACCAAAAGGCTTGCACAAGTCAGTTATAACACTAACAAATCAAATAAATAAAATATACAATACCAAGCGACTACGATCCAATTTCAAAACTCCTGAAAACTATCGTGAGGTAAAAATGTGATATTATTTTTAAATAATTAAGAATATTAATGTGAAAAACTTATTTTCAAATAGTTTCATTAGTGAAACAAATAAATTTTTTAAAGTTTTATTAAAAATAGTTTATGTTTTGCTGCATCATTTCATACAGTTGTTTACCTTTTCCATTTCTCAGCATTTAAAAAAATAATTGCCAAGGTTATTTTTTTTTGGGGGGACGAATTTCTGAGAACTGCTGCATTTATATTTTTCTTTGTTAACAAATAAATGTTCAGTAGGACTAGTAAGACATTTTGAAATACACAATGGCTTTTCACTAAACCTTATAATCATTATAAGTATTGCTTAATAAGTAACTTATAGGTTCGAAAATCTGAGCTGACACTTTTTAAAAAACCAACATTTATTTTCCACGCCATTTCTTATTATAAAAAATCTTAAATGCAACTATTTATCAAACAGAAAAAAATAATTCTGGTAATTTCTAGTAGACTGTTGTCTTAATTGCCCTAGATATTCAGAGTGAAATCTCTCTTAACAATTCTCTCATTCTCTGGAGATACTTAGATCCTCTACTCAATTTACTCAATTTTTCCTTGTCCACATTGTCAATATCAGGTATACCTGACTGTGGAGTTTCATGCAGAAATTTTTCCGGAGTTAAAGGGAAGAGATCTTCAATATCGACAGACATGTACGTCAGTGGTCTTGAGTTGACAATTCTTTCACAATCGCACAAGACGGTGAGTAACTCTTCATAACCAAGAGAAGCAAAACCTAAAATTTTTCTCAATATTTGCTTTACAATTTGTATTAAATGCTCCCACCATCCACCCCACCAAGCGGCGGATGGAGGATTAAATTTCCATTATATTCTCTTTTCAGCAGGCTTAGAGCAGAAGGCAGTCCCAGTCAATGGTTTGCAGAACTCTCTCTGCACCCACAAAATTTGTCCCATTATCGGAATCGATGTGCGATAGAAACGTCCACGATGTGCTAAAAAATGCCTTAAAAGCCTGAAAAAATTATTCAGTTGTTAATGAGGTAACCAGTTCCATATGGATAGCATGATAAACCACACAGGTGAAGAGCAATATATTGGTTCGTCCATCCTTTAAATGCAAGGGTCCTGCAAGATCACAATCCTACGATTTCAAAAATGGCTGAATCACGAACCCTATCATTTGGTAAAATGCCTGGGACTGTCTCACCTCTTTTAGCCTTAGGCTTAAATCTCTGACATGTTACACTTTTTCTTATACAGTTTCTTATATAGTTTTACGTGATTTTAAGATCCAGCATCTTTCTTTTAAATGCGATATCAAAAATGTAGTACCTGCATGCAATAACTCTTTGTGTGCACTTAATATCAATAATTTGACTGACTGGATGTCCAGAAGGTAATATGATGGGGAACTCAAAGCTGCTAGAGTCGTCACGATAAGCAACATTAGACTTAGCTCTTATTAGACCCTCACTATCTACAAATGGTCTGAGTCGTCTTAGCTTATCATCTGTTTCACCATTAAACGACTCTTTTTGTATTAATAACATTAAAGCTATTTCTGATACAGTCAAATCCTTAAAATGGTTGTTATTATTATTCTTGTATTATTGTTATTATGATAATGAAACTTGTCTCTCCGGTCGATGCGAGTATCTTCATGTATTTTACTAAACCTCGTCCAAAACGTCAACCAGTTTTGGGGGTCTCCATCGAACTTCACCAGTTCGATCTCTGTCGGTTTCCGTTTTGCGGTCGTAACTATTCCTGATGAAGAACCTCTATTCGTTGAACCAGTAGAAGGCTGTGAACACTTATCCTTTTTTCTGTTGGCTTTTACTTTCAACTTAGATAATTTATCATAATATTCTTGAGCTGCACTAAATTCCCTTTCGTTTTCTTCTTGAGTACAGCCTTTTTTCTGTAGAAGTTCCAAAAAAGAGTCATCTGTATTTCGTAAAGATTTATGTTTCTCTGAAAGTTGATCTAAAGAAATTTCTATATCGTCCAAATCCGGAGAATCTGATCGTATCAGTTCTTCCAATTTATTAGCTGTTTCGTAAGTGCACTCCTAATTGCTTTCCACTTCTGTTTTAGTATTTCTAAATCCTCCATGTTTCCACCTAGGAACTTCTCTTATTTTCGTAAATTATCAAGTGTCGAAATCAATAATGTCACCCTGTGACATTCATGCTGTCTAGGCTCGCCAATTATGTTGCTTAATAAGTAACTTATTGGTTCAAAAATCTGAGCTGACACTTTTTAAAAAAACAACATTTATTTACCATGCCATTTCTTATTCTACAAAATCTTTAATGCAACTATTTATCAAACAGAAAAGAATATGTAGACGTAATGCATCTGCGCACGTGATCCTCGTGACAGACGAATTCATTTAGCTTGCCACAATAAGTATTAGATTAAAGAATTTGAAATATGCATATTAATTTAAAGTATACTTTAGAATTTGAAGTATGCATATTAATTTAAAGTATACATTAGAATTTTAAGTATGCATATTAAGCACTGCAGATGAAAAATGCGTACAGCATTTTGGTGAGCTATCCGGTATTGAATGAATTATTCTTGAAATCATTATCAATACAGACTTCAAGGAATTTTTCTGAACAGCTTTATGTGTATTTTTGCATAACAATAATAATATTTCACAGTCTGCATACCATCTAAGTTATCAATGTGCAAGGATGTTCTAAATTCTAAAATCCTCTATGTAATTAAATAAACTTTCAACAATGGGACCACGTAGGGAAGTTAAAACAGATTTAAACATGTTTTTTCAATACTGCATATTTCTATTTTCCATCGTCTTTTAGCCTAAATACTTCAGCAACACTGCTTACAACATCTTGACCCCCCCCCAAAATTTTTGTATAACATGAGAACAGGGAAAAAAAAAAAAAAAAAAAGAAGCCTACACAAATCCTTCACCTTGTCTGAGCAAACTCAATAATTACTCAGATAAGCTACATAACCTCTCAATGAAGTTTATTAAATCATAGTTTTAAATTAATGCAATCTCTAGATTTTTGTTCTGCAAACATTTTTGTTCTAAAACAAAATTTGATAAAATTCTACATTACATATCACAAACTGGAATTCCAGCTATATCCAGACCATGACATGGAAAAGGAAAAAAAAGACGAGAAAGGAATTAAATATTCACTAAATAAAAACTCAAAAGTCCAAATTTAGGATGAAATTTTAAAAAGCAGAAGTTGTCTCTTTGGTCTGAAAAAGTTTAAAAAAAAAAAAAATTGCTACCCAAGACATAAACACGGGATTTTGATTTTTAACATACTATCTGAAATGCATTCTGTGCAGTGAATTTTCAGCATATTTTTTTAATTGGAACACACTTGTCATCTGGGCTTTAAATACTCTGTACACAGTAGCAAATCCACTTTTTCCAATTTTCTGGATAATTTCAAAATCCTCAATAAAATGGGCAACTGGATGACCTGCTCTATTATACATCTTTGAAAATCAAAGAGAGTAAATGGATTAGTCATACAGAGAACTTATAAATAGATTTAAAATTAGTTGTTTGTATTTTATTTTATTTATTTTACTTACCTTTTCTCATTATGTTACATAGTGCCCAAGGAATTTTGAATAAATAAAAGTACAGACTGGTCCTTAAAAGTGGCCTAAAATATCTTTTCTTGTCACACATGTTGAGCACATTCAAGAAAAATACAATTAACATCTCCATTACCACTACTGCAGCTGCACAAAGTACTTAAAGCAAGTCCAAAAATTTGACAATCTGATGCCATAAAATGCATCAAATTTTATGGAAATAAATGCCATAAAATTTGAGTTAATTTAAAATCTGTTATAAAATTAACTTTCATTCTGCGAAAAACTGTAAGAAAAAACATTTTTGTTCATTGTGGTTTTGGTAAAGCAATGTACCTTCTGATCCAAATACAAATAGCTTTTTTTTCTATAAAATAACTTCCAGTGAGATACCAGAACACTGAAAGTTTAAACCAATGTGAAATTTTGAGGTTAGCTTTGCTACAGCACCAGCCCTCTCATTTCCAAATTTTAATGATTATAAGCTCTATATTAAGTTTTTGCATGATTTTAATAATAATTTGAATTTTGACAAGAAGTTTCTTAGAGAAACTTTCTACAGTAACTGTAGCGAGGAATGAGGACCACTCACTATATCCCAGAATGTGCACCGATCTCAAACTACAAGAATTTTGAATCCATTTTACAGCAAGGTTTAAGAATAGCAACACGGCCTCAAAAAGAACACTCATGGCTGATTCTGAACTGTTTGAAGTCTGTTTCTTCTGTATCTTCACAGAAAATAACAACAGTAAAATACAGAGAAATAAGCGCCTTAGACATGTTCAGAACTAATCCTCCCCAATAATGCCTACCATACAAATAAATGGTACTTTCCGACTAAATGAACTCTTGCCAAAAAGTCGTAAACTCACTGGCAACTTTAGTCTTCATGAACTTGCTGCAGACTAATTTTTTTGCCAAACTAATAACATAAAAGTCAACAACTGTTTTGATAACGGCACTACACTAAAAATCTCCCAAAAGACCAATCAGTCAGTAAAATTAGAAAAGCAAGAAACATGAGTAATAAAACATTTACTTTTTTGGGGAAATCCTTCCTTTGGGTGGGGGGGGACAACAGTGGTTGTCCCCCCACATATATAGCAATTAGTTTCCACTTAAAAAATATCAGAGAATTGCAAAAGTTCAGCATCTGTGCAATTTGGTTATTACACACTGACCAAAACAGACACGTGATACACGCATACCTGGGCTGCGTAACACAAATAATTTTTTTAAACACTGTGGTTTGTCATTGGGGGGGGGCAAGGGGGGACATCTGTCCCTGGGCACAGCATCAAAGTATAGGGGCGCCAAATTAATGTTACAAAATTTTAGAGTTAAATGTTTTCCATTCTTGGCAAGTAGTAGGGAGTGTGAAATCTTCAGTTGTCCCTGGACGCTGAAAACTGTAGTTACAACTCTGGTTGTCACATAACTATTTTGGTGATATAGTGCTTTACTTCATGAACATCTTTTGCGGAAATTTCGGCAGGAGTGCAGATAATCAGAAAATAATGAATAAATATTGCCCATATCCTTAAAACACGTTTTTGTTTTCATACAATATTTACTGCTTTATGTTGCTTAAGAACTTGGTTAAAACATCAAAGCCCCGTACGATATCACTCACAGCTGATCATGGAACATAATACGAGCAAATAGTGGGAGCTTACAGTACAAGGCTTTTAAGAATAAAACAGTGCAACTTTTTTTAAGAATAAAACTTGGCATGCCTTTTAATGTCAGAAAGTTTTCGCCTTATCCTTCAGGCAATGTGTCATACACACTTCTTGAGCTCTTCAGCCTGCTACAGGCCAAGGCTACCCCTCCAAGTTTTATCCATCTGACCTTATCTGGCAGCACAGCTTCCCATTGGTTTACCCCTATCAACTTCAAATTATTTTCCACACTATCCAGCCATCTAGTGGGTGGTCTTCCTTCTCATCACTACTACTCTATTTTCGAGAAAGTTACCTTTTTAGTAGAATATGCATCATTATATCTATAAATATGACTTACACATCTAATACAAGATGCCTTTACAATTTTGACAATATCAGGTTCATCATATTTCCTATAGATTTCATAGTTATATAATATTCTCCACACTTCATTTTCCCTCAACAGTCTAAAAATCTTCCTTAAAATTTTTCTTTCAAATATCAGCAGCAGATCTTCCTCTGTCTTGTTAAGTGTCCAACATTCGCTCCATACATCTTATCAAAAATTACTTTAATTTTTATGCTAATTAATTTGGATTTAAGTTGGTTTTTAAGCCCATAAAAGCATCTGTTGGCCATAGATATCCTATTTTTAATTTCAATTTTAAGGTAACAATAAAACCAGTACCAAATTGCAGCTGTCTTTATATGCCAGCTATAACAGACATAGCAATTTTGTTTATGAATCACTCCTAGGCCAGTCCACCTCATTTCCTGGCCATCCACAAAATGAGATGACATCTAGCTTGTATTGGATGAGGAAAATCTCAATAAGCTTTTCCAATGCTCCACTTCCATATAAAGGTCACACATTCCATGCTTCAAATCTCAAGTTCAATTTCATGACAGGTCACCAGGAATGTATTAATTCAGAATTTTTTTTTTTTTTTTTTTTTAGGTTTCTTAATCAGAAGAGTTTTTATGAGGTTGGGTGATCAGCCCTGCAGCCGACCTCCAACCTGGAGGACCAGTCCTGATATAATCCCTACGGGCTGGAAGCCCAGCTATAACCCCACATGCTGGGTACCCATTTCACCGCCTCTTACAGCATGCACGAGCTATATTGGGACTATTCTTTCCCACCCGGTCACCACACGGGTAGCCATATACACTAAGTGTAGCAAAAAATAATTTTCTGAAAGTTTTTTCATTCTCATTCATAAAAAAACTGTCATTAATAATAACTGATAAATTGCATTGACTGTATACACATATATTATATCCAAAGAATAGTTCACATGAAATGAATACTTGAATGTGCCCATACTTTTGGTAGATATGATTAACCAAATCTGCTCCAAGTATGGTCACATGAAATGGGTGCATTCAAGTATCTATTCCAAAGGCTGACTCCGCAGAAAAATCACAGACTGCATGTAAAAACATTATCAAACATCAACCCACGTTTCCACCTTAAAAAAATATTTGCTTACTTCAGCAATTAATATTCTTCTGATTGCATTTGTGATAGGAGCTCCAACTCCTATAATGTCAAATTCCATTTCTTTTTTTTCTTCATCGATATTAATGATTTTTATTTTCAAACCCTAAAAACAATAAGAAGATTTAGATTATAATAGAGACTTTACTAACAGAACATGCTATAATCTGTTATATAAAATTTAAAAAGTACACAAAATAAGAATAACATTTAAACTTAATAGGGGGGGAAATCAAAGATTTTGTAACTGAACAAAAGGATTAAAATTTTAACAGCTATTACTCAACAGATGAACGAAACTATTAACTATTACTACTCAAAATCAAAACACTCCATTTAAAGAAAGAACGAAAATTAATTATTTTTTTAATTTTATGAGTAACTGTTTACATTTGCATATATAAGAATATATACAAGAATATTAACAGTAAATTAATACAAAATTTTAACAATTTTACCGAGTCCACATGCAATGAGTGCAAATCAATATTTGAAGAGCTCTAAATTCACATTCAGCACTTATGATACTTTGTAGATCATTTATTTGATTTTTGGCCCCAATGAAAATATTTCCTCATTACAAAATTAAACATATAGTCAAACTTTGCTTGACAAGCACCTCCCATAACAAGTGGTTTCTATAATGAGCAAAACATAATGTAAAAATATAACTCCCTTAACGAGCGATGTTTGACAGAACAAGTGACATGGAGACAATTTGATGTCACATGCAGGATTCGGCCTGCATCTCTACTATCCGTCTGTGTTTAGCACTTGTTCAGCTAGCATTTGACTGTTGCCTGTTTACATTGTATTTAGACATATTATTCCACATTTTTTCAGTACAAAGTTTAAGTATACTCAGTCATTTGTTCCCAAAGAAAATGCCGCAAAGCCAAATCATCCAGTAAAATGCCAAAGCACTGAAAAGCAAGAACAAGGTGTGGATGTGACGGGTCTGGCATGCACATACAATCAGTCTACATCAAAAATTTGCATTGTCCTATAAAACAAGGATAAGATGAAGAGTGTTTCTTAGAATTTTTTGTGCTTTTCTAGTTTTGATTGATGTTAGCACACCATCACTTTAAAATCTACAGTTCTTACAACACTCACAATCAGGTTTTACACAAGTTATTTTGTTACATGTATGAAACTTAAAAGGATTCTGTCTTATTACAATATCCTGAACATCATGTATATTAGAATCTGGACCAGTGTATTTACCAGATTAAAATGGACGTGCACAATACATAATTATAGAAAATATAACTTATTTAACAGCTTTTTTTTTAAATAAATCTAAATTTGTTTGTGCAGTCACGCAGAAAATATTACTTTGATAATAAACAAAAGCTGATGAATTGTTTCAAAAAAAAAAAAAAAAAAAAAAAAAAAAAAAAAAAAAAAAAAAAAAAAAAAAAAAAAAAAAACAAAAAAAAAAAAAAAAAAAAAAAAAACAAAAAAAAAAAAAAAAAAAAAAAAAAAAAAAAAAAAAAAAAAAAAAAAAAAAAAAAAAAAAAAAAAAAAAAACAAAAAAAAAAAAAAAAAAAAAAAAAAAAAAAAAAAAAAAAAAAAAAAAAAAAAAACCTGTTTATTCAAAGCATTTTAAGCTCAAGTTGTTTCTTATTATTTAAAATCCTACAGATAATATAAAAGCAACAGATTAATGTTCAATCTAGACCAATGAGTCAGTTTTAAAGCTGATACTAATACAACCATATAACTGACACTATAGATAATTTCCATCTTCACATGCAAGGTCTTTAAATCCAAAATGCATTACGTTTTAAAAGAATAGTCTGCATAAGTACAATTTTAAAATGAAATTTCACTCTTGTCTGACCAAATGCCATTGGCAGAAAACTAATTTGATTTAGATCAGATATGACACAACTCAAAGTACAATGAAACTCAATTTATGAATATAATTTGTACCTGAAGGCCATTAATTATCCATAATATGTATAGATTGAAGCAATTTTTCACCTATTTACTTAAAATCAACTAATTTACTCCTAGGCCACAGATGATTGCATATTAAAAATTTATAATAGTACTTTGGGCACAAGTTCATAGCTTGAAATCAATGGAAGATTAATAATGTGTTAAATGTAAGAATTCTCCAAAAAAGGTTAACATAATATTAAACAAATACATAAAAATTTAATTTAGTTTTAGTATGCCCTTATGAAGCAGGGTGGACAATGTAAAGGAAAAGTGATGAGGAAGAGATGTTGGATAAAAAGTCCCTCTGTATTAAAACATCAGGTAAATGTCTTTTATCTTTTCTTTTCTAATCTAAAACCACTCAACTCTGATTCAGACTTGTTGCAGGTAATATTTGTTAAAAGCAGAAAAGATCATGTTTACACATCTACTTCAATCAAGATAACTCCTTATCAGCAGTAATAAAATAAATAAAAGAAACAAGCTTCGATTCCAAAACCAACTGAACTTTCCAGATGAAGCTACGAGGGTAAGGTGAAACGTTCTCGGCCTGACAATGAAAGTCCACAACTTTCAGTTAAAATATTATTTTATTCTCTGCATAATCTCCCTTGACTCCAACACACTTGGTTCAGCATTTCTCCAACATCGGAATTCCTTCATGAAAGTGAGAGTCTGGAAGGTTGTGAAAATGTTCATCTACGATCATCTTAGCTTCTTCATTGGATGCAAAACGCTTCCCAAAAACAAATTTCTTCAAGTTTGAGAACAAATGGAAATCTCAGGGTGCCAAATCAGAAGATTAGGAGGGATGGCCAAGAAAATAGCAACCCAAATCCCACAGTTTTCTCATCGCCAATGCACCCTTGTGCACAGGTGTGCTGTCCTGGTGAAACATGATTTTTTCCTGCTTCAAGCCAGATCTCTTCTCGTGAATTTTGGCATTTAGCTGGTCAAGAAGGTTGAGGTAATATTCACCAGTAATTGTTATCCTTTTTGCAAGGTAATTAATTAACAGGATCCCTTTCGTATCCTAAAACACACTGGCCATTACCTTTCCAGCAGATGCGACTGACTTCGCTTTCTAAGGCACTGAATCCCCGGCTTCCACCCAATGCTTGGACTGTTGTTTCGTTTCCGATATGTAGTGATAGGCCTATGTCTCATCTATGGTGGCAAATTGCTGCACAAAATTGGGAGGATCCCTGTTGAATCGATCCAAAGATTGCTGCAAAAGTCATTTGTGCATTTGCTTTTGACTGGCATTCAGAAAATGCGGCACCCATCTTGCACATCCCTAATTCTTTATGCAAGATGTTTCACACCCTTTCTTCTGATATTCCTACAGCTTCAGCTATCTCACACACCTTCACTCACCTATCATCCAACACGCTATCATGCACTTTTTCAATGGTTTTCGGGGTGTGGTTGCATTCTTCATGTGGGTCATCTTCGGGATGTGCAACCACGTTTAAATTCAGCTGCCTGCTTTTTAATGGTTGACATGCAAGGAGCAGAGTATGAATTGTCTTGGGGCTTAATCCATCCAAAATAAAGAATTTTATGACTGTATGATATTCAAGTTTATCCATTTTAACGAATAACACGCAAGACGTCTACTGCGAAAATTTATGTAAACAGACTACTTGAGAGAATAAGTTGAAAGTTATCATACCAACTAATAACACCTGCATCCAGGCTGGAAACATAAAATTTTGCTGAATGGAATGCCATCTCTAAGTCAGGTTGAGAACTTTTCACCTTACCCTTGTAGTTATTTCTCCTTAGAAAAATCTTTTATTGAGCCTTATCTCTTCAAGCATAAATATTTGAATGTTTAAATGCAATAAATGTTTCCTATATCTATTCCAGCTCAAAGTCTAGAATCTGGATATCCAATATCTGGGAAGATCTAAAATCCGAATCTCTGGATCATCAGCAATTTTTCTTTAATGCTTTACACTTGCGAATTTGGTATTTTTACGCAATACAAAATCTGGAGAGTAACGACTCCTAATTTTACTTTGGCACTGATGCCCATCTGGAGAATCATTATTGATTATTTTTTGCTTTCATCATCACATGACTATCAACCCACTGCAGCTAGAGAAATGACTCACGCAGCAATGTCTAAACAGTTTTTTTAATATCAATAATTGATTACCAAAGTGCATGGTAACCTTTTACTTTGCCATTATATGTGATGATTATTACTGACTTCTGCTAACTTTGCTATAGTGTTGTTGTGTCGAAGAGGAGAAAATTAACAAAAATTACTTTCCATATGCAAAAGGCAGATTTTGTAAATGAAACTCATAGGCTAAAAGATTACATTTAGTGCTGTCTGAATTGAGAATAACTGACTTGCTATTCAGATAAACCCAGTAAAGGTGCCACCAATTGGTGGCAACACTGAACAGAAGAATCTAGGGTAGGCAAAATTTCTAACATGCTTAAGGGATGGTAAAAATCTTTAGAATTTAAAGAAGGCATGGGGTACAAAATTATTTTAATTTAGGGAGGTGGTCAGCAGCAGTCTTTCAGACCTACAGGAGAGCGCACCAGTGCCACACATCATCTTACGTCGGCCCTAGATAAAACTTAAGTGCATGTGGGATTTATTAAATCAGGACTCAGATAAACCTTAAACCTAAGCAGTGTGGAAAGACGGTTATAATATGTAAGTGGAAAGAAGGGCGTATAATAATTAACACAACAGCCAGCCTTATGATAGAGAATACGGTCTTTAGTCAAAAATCCTTTGATATATCGGCAATAGTGCACAAGGAATGCCAGCTAAACTTTATGATGATAGCCGCTAATTTAAAGGTATTCAGATATTGCAAACAAAAAGCAAAGTTTTACAATTAATGGCATTTTTAAAGAAATGTGAGAAATGATAATAAATGAAAATGATATAAAGGAAATTTTGTTTATAGTATATTTAACACATGAAGACGAGCGATACTTTTAGCTACGCGAGGATGTGCGTCGGGCTCCGTAGGCTTAAAAACAAAAACAGAAATAAAAATATTATAATGTAATTTATAATAATAAATAAATTTTTTTTTTAAAACAATTTTAAGACAGAAATTATTTATCATTAACAACAAATATAAAACTCATTTCTTTTTGTGCGCAAATGAAATTTAGTAC